GGAACCCACGCAAACCTGAAAAGACCTCCGACTTACAGAGCCGGGAGTTGGTAAATGGGTCTCGTGGTCAATCAAGGATTCGGGGTAGATTCCTGCGCCAGTTTCCAGGTCCAGCCTGGAAAAGACGAGCGGCTTCCGCCGTCTGTCTGGTGGAGCAGTTGCCATGGGAACCCAGTCTCCATGAGGTGAGGAGCCCCAAGTGGCCCCAGGGACCGGCCCACGTGGGAACGAATGAAGACCTCAGAGCAGCCACAGCTCAGGCCCAGCTTTCCGGCCTTGTGCATTCACCACCTTGGAGGTGGTCCTTCAGCTCCGGTCGATCTGTGCCAGCTGACACTGTGTGACACAGGACAGGCCACCTCCTTCGAGCCCTGCCCACATTACAGAATAAATGATTGCTCTTTTTTGAAGGCACTAAGTTTTGGGGTGACTTAAGTAGAGTGTAAATTTTCTGCTGTTTGCTCCGGGACAAAATTGCTAATTATGTCTCTAGCGATGTGATTGGTGTTAAAGATCACTTAAATAAAGCCATTAAAGGCATTCCTACGTGCCAGGGGGAAACGGCCCTCGCGGCTTTACAGATGCATCCTTCTACTCGACTTCCCTCCTAGGATTTCGTGAATCAAGGAGCGCGATGGGGAGAGAGAGTATCTTGCAAATTCCTACTAGCAGAGGGGTTTATCAATTTTGCAACCCGTTTAATCACCAAAACAATAATGTTCGATGCTGTTGAAGGTGCGGTGAAATAAGTCATCTCAGGGGTCATAAACTGGCGTAGTTCTGGAAACTTCACCGGTAACTTTAAAGTGAATAATGTTTTGACATGTGATTCTAATTAAAAGAGCCTAATGTAAGATATAGTGCCAACGCAACATTAAAAGAAAAAAAACCCCAATCCTCTGTCTACATAAATACATTAATCTCAGTTTTATTTGCAATATTGAAAAGCTGGAAACAGCATCATGTTTAACCACATGGGTATTCTTACATTCATTATGATGATATTATGTTATGTATCATAATGTAGCATGTTACTATAAAGCCATTAAAACAATGTTCATGAGTGGCTTTTAATGATATGGAAGAATGCTTACAACATAGTGATAAATTAAAAAGAACATAAAATTGTATAGACAACATTATACTTTACTATCTAATTCATGAAAGCATATATGGTTGTTTAAGTAAAAGATTTCAAGTAGTTAAAATATAGATACAACTTAATGTTTGCTAATAAAGAATTATTTAAATAACTAATGGTACAATGTTAAAATGTAATACTTCTAGCAACTTAAAATTATTTCGTAAGGATACACAAATCTGTGGAAAGACACTTAGGCCCTTTGGTTAACTGGATGTGTTAGTTTCCTAGGGTGTTGTTACAAAGTGCCACAGATTAGGTGCATTGAAATAATACACATTTATTCACTCATAGTTCTGGAGACCGGAAGTCTGAGAGGAAGGTGGGGGAGGGCCCTGCTCCCTCTGAAGGCTGGGAGGGAGAATCCTTCCTTGCCTCTTCCAGGTTCTAAGGGCTGCCAGCAATTTCGAGTTCCTTGGCTGGCAGCTGTGTCACTCCCAACCCTGCCTCTGTTGTCACATGGCCTTCTCCCCGTGTGTCTTTGCTTCATTGTTCCTCTATGTATGTTTGTGTCCAATTTTTTCTCTCCTTGTAAGGACTCCCATCATATTGGATTAGGGCTCTGTGCAATCCAGTGTGACCTCACGAATTACCAAGACTCTATCTCTGAATAAAGTCCCCTCCTGAGGTTCTGGGTGGGTGTGAATTTTGGGGTCAGACACTATTGAACCTAGTATAGTGAATTAAGTGAAAAATGCATATTTCATATATAAAATTCTGTATTATACTTTAATAAAAAGTTGGTAGTTATACATGACATACACACATACACACTCATGGACACACGGGTGCACATACACACCCACATAAAGGGTTGAAAGACTTCTTAATACTTTACAGTGAGTGGGTCTTTCTGGCGGGCAAGGTTCTGGGTTCTGCTTAATGAAACTGTGTATTTTTCTGCATTTTCCACATTTTCTACATTGATCCCACATTCCTTTTGTAATCGAAACAGTGAATTAAAAAAATTTTTTTTTGTCATATAAATTGTCAAAAGTTAAAATAGCTGATGGTGTCGGTTGCATTGGACATTAGCTGCCAGGGGCAATGTCCACTCCTCGCCTGCCCACCCGTCCCGGGCTCAAACTCAGTTCCCTCAAGGAGACTCCCGAGTCCAGCTCTTTAAGGCTTCCCTCGTGGCTTCACTGCAACTTGAATTACAATCCGAATGTTTCATGTAAATTCGAACTTTGTGATTTTAAAATAGCACAGGCTAAAAATAGTACTCAAATCTCTATGCTCAAACTTTGAAATAATGCAAATCTCTCAACTTCCAAGAAAAACAACAAAAAAAGTCCCTTAGGATCGAGAGTTAGAGATGCGTGTCCAATGGCTTGTAGACCATGTTCCCACTCCTGCCTGGGCTGGGCGGCGGGTGTCTCAGTGAGCGGTGGACAGGTTCCCAGGGGCCCAGGCCAGCAGCGAGGGCTCCCTGCCCTTGGCACGGAACTTCCGAGAGGGGTTCTTATCCTTACGTAGGTCTTGTTGTTAGGGCACTTGTGGAGGTCAGGATGTGCCATGCTAAAACACGCCACTTTGGCGTAAGGATTACTTTAAGCTGAAGATAATTGAGAAACAGCAGACACCAAACAAACCGGCCACCCTCCCGCCTTCTGTACCAGAAAGGGCAAAGGGATCTCGATCACTGGAGACGCGTACCGGAACCTACGTAACAAAGCTTCGCCTTCTCTTCCATCTGCTCCCTACGGTCTGCCAGCCCCCAAAGCCTAAGCTCCTGCTCCTTTGTCTTGTCACTGCTCCACAGACCGACTGTATCTTACTTGTACTTCTACAGACTTATACAGTATCTTACTTAACAAGTAAGATACTGTATAAGCCCAAGTTCCGACCACGCCTTTGAGATACTCATCACTGATTTTCTCCCGTGTGTTTGAGTGTGGCACATGTTAAGAAATTCTTGTTAATCTCTGTTTTTTTTTTTTTTCTCTTGTTAATATGTCTTTTGTATGTTTAATTTTCAGGGCCCAAGCCACAGAACCAAGGAAGGTAGAGGATAAGATTTTTCTCCTCCCTTATAGGCTCATTGTCATCATAACAAACATTTCTGAAAGCTGTGACAATATTCTTCCATCATAGTGCTGGGACTCAGGCTGGGGCTGGAAATCCTGAGGGTGGGAGACCGTCAGGTGTGACCTCAAGGCCAGTCCTTGTGACTTCCAGTGCTGACGCATACTCTAAACATCAGGACTGAAGCTCAGAAAATAAAAAAGCACGTGAGGGCAAAAACGAGTTATACTGGTCAGGAGTTGTATGTCTGTGGCTCGTCGTTCTAAAATTATTTGAGTTTTGAATTATGCTAGGCCTTCAGGGACACATGAATAAGATGCCTACGGCCCTGTGTAGATTTGCAACTTTATGGGATTAATATATTCACTTCCCAAATCTACCTGTTTTGCCCACCATTTTTTTGGACCGACTCCTAGTACACGGCCTTGTAGGAAATAAAAAACCCAAACCCAAACCTTTTCCCCTACCCTGTTATGTTCAGTGGCTGGGCCCTGTGAATTAAAGTGGCAAAACACAGATTAACAGGAGAAAAAGGTTGCTTCTGTGTGCCTATGGGAGCTGATCAAGGAAGCACCCGTCTGATTAACTGGATAAAGGCTTATATACCCCTAACTTAGTGGGGGAAAGCGGAGGGGGAGAAAAGGCTTTTTGTGGGAAGGACAGACAGGTTTCTCCAGGAAAGTAAAATCGGTTTTGGGAGAACGGGCGGGAGGTAAGGCAGCCTGCGGTGGTGTTTGCCTGCACAGGCGGATGCTCTTTCCCCGCTCCGGGGTCGTAAACCGCCTGGAGAAGGGCTTTGGATGAAGTTTTATCTTCATCCAGAGAGTCCCGTCTCTCTGGGGGTAGATCTGCCCTGAAGGGGAGTTTGCAGCAGCCTTATTTCCCCAAATCGTTGCTTTTAGTCATAAAAGGGAAAAGGCTCTGGGAAGGTGAAGCATCGTTGTTGTTGTTGTTATTGTTGTTTTTGTCTGTTGACTCTCAAATGTCTTCAGCTTAAAATAATCTTTATGCCAAAGTGACCTTTTTCGGGTGGCGTATCCGATCCCCTTCAGCTGGGAGGAATAGTGTTTCCCTGTATTTTTTTCGTTCAGGGCCTTACTCTAAACGTTCGACCCGCGCTTTCTGTGGGTGCCTGTTCCGTGTAGACACCCTTCACCCTGAGTTCCCTGGCGAGGTTGGAATGTGATGGGGGTGACGAGCCAGGTATTGAAAAAAAAGACATATAAGTGAGGACAGTTTGGCACGGTGCTGCACGTCAGGTTAGGGGAGATGGGTTTTTTTTCCAGAACTGTCACAGCATTCTGAGAAGCCGGGCCCCTCTGTTTACTTCCGAGGGGAGCCGGAGGCCCCCCGACAGCCTCGTCGGAGTTCTGTGCAAACGCTGCGCAAAAACTGCGATTTGCTCCTCCGACGGCCGCATTCCAGAGCCCTTCGCCCTTGGGACTATTTTTTTTTTTCCACCTTTCACAAAAGAACCTGTTCTGTGGATGTGGAGGTGCCTGACTAAAGAAAGAACCGGCTTTGCCAGCCCTGGTCTTTGCCAGAGGCCAGAGGGAGCAAGGCCGGCCAGGCCACTGTCCAAGGACTGGAAGGGCCTGCCAGCCGCCGGGGGTGGCAAAGGGCGGCGGGGCCCAGGTGGGTCTTGGCCCTGCAGGATATCTTGAATGTATGTTGTACTTTGTGGGTCATCTAGTCTCTGCTACTTGACTCTGATCTTATAGTGTGAAAGCAGTCATTCCCAGCGCCTGCAGGGTTTCCCGGGCTGCTGTTTGGGGCTGGCTAATGGTTAACAGCAAACATGCTGGAACGCGCACACCCTCAGGGAGAGAGGGCCTGTGGCTGGCGCAGGCCACCTCCGTGTTTACAGCCTGGCCTGTGACGTGACAGCACCATTTCGTGAGGAACTTCCTGTTCACTGGGGCGGTCGGGTCCATGTTCTCCGGTGGCCAGACAGAAGCTGTTGCTGAGTTTGTGTGAAGAGAGTACAGAGACCATGACGCCTTTGGGAAACGGAGAACCTTCTCCGAAGCCCTGAACAGGGGATCTACCTGCCAGAGGTGACTGCCCCAGCGTGCGGTTCCCCGACAGGTATTTGTCTAGCGGCTTTTCCCGCAGGTACCGGGGCTGCTCCGGGGAGCGAGGTGGCTTCTACCTGTTGTCCTAGGGAACGTGTGGGACGATCGAACCATGTTCTGGTTCCCAACTTCTTCCACAAAGTTACAAATGGAAAGAGCGGGCTCTCGGAGTGCAGGAATTTGAGACGCTTGAATCAAGCAAGCGTCCCCTACATAGTGAGCTGTTCTCAGGGACGGGCCGAGAGCTGAGGCTCAAGGGATCAGGATTCAAATGCTGGAACATGACTGTGACTCATGGTGTTCGTCGGGCAAACGTTTACAGGCCAGGTGATGACATGCCGATGAGAAGGCCCAGAGAATGCTGAGGTCTCTGCATGTGGTGGGTGATACGGCGCTCAGCCTGGCAGGGAGGGCCAGTGCGCCTTCCCACGGAGGGACACACAGAACTGGGGTATCAGGAGTGTGGGGGTGCCGGTGCTTTTGCATTTAGTCCTGGCGGTTTGCAGTGAGCCCCTTGTATGGGTCTGTGGCAGTTAATTCTCATGGACCGTGAGAAGCATTTCTCCTTTCTCTTTGTTTTGGGGTGTCTGCTGCTGCCTGAAGCAGGGCAGGCTCCTTGGATGTTGATATCGCGCTATTTCCAAGAACCCGGAAATAAGCCTTTGTGTGTCGGGTGGCTGAGATCACAGTTTTCTTCTTGAGATGACTGTCTTGGTGGCCAGATGGATCTGAGTGATTTGGCCTTCTCGGGACATTAAGAAATTGGTTGGGGGTTAAATCCTGTCTATTTAATACCATTTAATAAGACAAGATTTTAAGAAGACTGCAGTTTTTCAACTAAAAGTAGGTAATTCAAGTCTTCCGCGATGAATCGGATGAGAAGTTACAACTCAGGGACCCATCAGACTACTCCACAGAGATGGACTTGCAATGTCCCTGGCACAGGGTCTCATTCAGTTAAAGCGACTTGTCTGATGTCAGCTTTACGACGGTTCCTTCCCGCACGCACCCTTCAGGTCCCGGCCCTATCAAACCCACGTCTGCAGTAACCACCCAGCTGGCTCCCTCTAGCTCTCAGCGCGTCTGCACAGTGCCCGCCCCGGGTTCTGCCGGGCTCATTAGAAGCGGAGTCATTCGCCCCTGTGGAGAATGAGCGAGACGGGACTGTGAGGACAGTGGCAAAGTGAAGCATTTAATCAGTCAGGCCACCAGCCCTTAGTCTGCAGCCTGACTCACTTTCTGTATCAGTGACTCCAAGTATTTCCGAATGGACCTTAGGCTATTTTCGCGGTTTCGATAGATAACACCGTGTCTGTAATTTGCATTTATTGCTTTTGGTGAAACGTGTCAACTTTTATGACTAGATGGCTCAGTTTCTCCTTTGTCCTCTGCTGGAATCTAGCATTCGTGGCGAGGTGATGGGGAGAGCTGTTGACCAGTCCAGTTGTGTTCACTGAACCCTGAAAGTTGGTAGGTGATTTATTCGAGGCTTCGTAATTGGGGGTCTTGAACCAATGTCAGAAGGCCGCGATTGCAGTTCGGGCCATGTGCAGCCTCTGTGCCACATGCCGATGAGGCGTCCATCAGGGGACTTGCTGACTCTGTGTTGCGTGATCGCAAGGGGCGGCTTCCACAAGGGCCCGGCGGTCCAGCACGGTCGCTGCAACCTAGTGTGTGGCCGAACGCGAGGACACACACCGACTCGGCTTTCCAAAGGCATCGATGGCAGTGGGGTGGAACCCACATCCCTGCTCAGGGGCCGTGAGATACGTAAATGACACCGGCAGCAACGGTCCCGGCGTCTTTGCGATCCTTCACGCGGCCGGTTGTGTGCTGGGGACTTCCCTGGCCCCGTTTCAGGTCCTGTGCTTCTGCGCGTGGGCCTCCCTCCTACGGCCTGTAAGAGGCCCCGGGTGATGTGTCGGCGCATCACACAAATCCCGCCATGGGGCTCCGACTGACCCGGTACCCCACATTCTGGAGGGATGAGGTGGATTCCCCAGAGTCAAAGTGAAAGCTGCCCCCGGTCACTGCACCCCACACATTGGTGGTCGAAGAACGTTTCGGATCAAGAGATTCTTTTCTGAGGTTAAGGGGCTGTTTTTCGTAAACGGTTTATGATATGTTGGGTGGGTGACTTAGCCCTAAACACCCCAGTGGGGCCAAGCCACGCTGGTGGCCGCCTCAAAGAGAAGGAAAAGAAGAAAAACGCAGAGACGCAACCAAGAGGGTTGGCGAAGAGCCAAGGGGTTGACGGAAAGGCCGCGAGGTGCACGGGACATGATCCCGCGTGCGGCCGAGGGGCCATCGAGACCGTGCTTGGTCCCCTGCTGGCCTCCCTGACCTCTGACCGCCCCCCTCCCAATCACCCCTCACTCTGTCCCAGTCCAGAGCCCTCTCTGTCGTTCTTCCAACGTGCCAGGCACGGTCCCACCCCGGAGCCTGTGCGCCTCCTGCTCCTCCGCCTGGAAGGTTGTCCCGCAGGTGTCCACGTGGTGTCGCCTCCCTGCTTCGCTGTTCAGAGAACCCCTTCTCGGGAGCCTTCCTCCGAGCTCCCGATTCGAGGCGATGGCCAGCCCAGCCCAGCAACGCCCCCTCACACACACTCTCCTGTTCTATTTTTCCCTCATCCCCGCCGCCTTCTAACTGGCTTACGATCTAGTTCTTCATCTCGTTGTCCGCTTTCCCTTTACAATGTAAACACTGTGGGCAGGACTTATTTTTTTCTCAGTGATGAAAGCACCGTGGCTGAGACGATTGTAGGAAGCCCAGGCTCTGGGCCAGGAGTCCGGCTGTCTTGGCGGTCCAGCCGCATCCAAAAATGTATACATGAGCTTGGGAGAAAGACCCTAAGCTATAGTTCTCACGCTTGAGCAGGTACCAGGATGCGACATTGTTTCATTGTTTAGACAGGTTGTTGCGCTTGCCTCCAGGGCCCCTGACCCGGCGGGTCCGGGCTGGGCCCAAGCACCTGCTTTTCGGATAAGTTCCCAGGTGAGGCTGCTGCCGCTGAGCACGCCGAGAAGCGCTGACTCGTCCATCCTCGGACTCACCGGGGCTGGTCGGGAATCCCCCAGCTGAATGGTAAGTGCCCATCAGGGATCGACTGGAGCCTTTCTGCTTTGTTCTCCCAGGTGGGGAAGACGATGAGGAGATGGAGGGCAGCTGCAAAGGCATCCTGGCTGTGCTGGTCGTCCTGGCTGGTCTAGCAGGTAGGATCACGTGACTTGCTGGAATGCACCAGGGCATCCTCTTGAAGTGGGTGGTAGGAAGCTCAGGGGAGGCTGCTGGGCACATGGTGCCGGAAGGTTCTTCCTTAGGCACGTCCCACATGGCCCCCTTGTTTTTCCCCTGAAATTTTGTGTTACAGGCACAGATGGCCTTGGTTGAGTCCAAAGATGGCTATTCCAGGAGGGGAGTCTTATGGGCGAATTCTAGAGCCTCCTGGGGAACGGGGTCCATCGCAAACACTGAGCCCCTCTGATGCCTCATCTGAGGAAGGCTTGGGAAGAGACGGCTTTGTAGACTTGGCTTTGAATAGCTGAGGGCGACCTCTGTGTGCACCCGAAGGGCTCCTGCCCGCCCTCTCCTCCGTGCTGAGCCCCCAGGGTAGTGGAGTGCGTGGAACTTGACCCCCTTATCTATTCACTTGGTGAATATCCACCGAGGGCCTCTCACGCACCGTTAAGTTGAGGCATTGGGATGCGATTATGAGCCAAAGCAGGAAGAATCTTTGCGACAAAGAGGTTTAGAGCCTAGTAAGGGAAATGGGCATTAATTCATAGAAAAATCAATATAAAATCACCCCTGCGACAATTGCTTCACTGATATAACAGCCTGTTATAGGGTAATTTAGCCTAAATCGGGTGCTCTGAGGGGCCCTCTGAGAAGGAGACACTCGGCTGGGAGCTGAGGAGTAAGCGAGGAAAAAGGCACGCCAGGCTGGTCACTGCCCGTGCAAAGGCCCTGGGACCAGAAAGATAAATTGAAGACACTTTGGTGGCCAGAGGGTGGAGTCAGGGTCTTAAGATGTGATAATGTTGGGAATTATCTGGTCTTTATCCTAAATGATGGAAATATTGAAGCAAAGTGTGGGGTGTGCAGGTGGGAAGTAGCGGAGGGTCCCTGATAACACGGGTGTTTTTTAAAAAAAATTTTATATATTTTTTCAATTATATTAGTTTCAGGCGTACAGCACAGTGAGTAGACATTTCAATAACTTGTGAAGTGATCACCCCGATGAACCCAGTACCCACCTGACACCACACATAGTGATTAAAGCACTATGCTCCTCATCTGTGCTCTACATCCCCAGATGATTTGTATCTACCAATTTATACTCTTAATCCCCACCGCCGACACCCGCCCCACCCCTCAATTCGACAGCCATCAAAGTGCTCTCTGTGTCTATGAGCCTGTTGCTGTTGTCTGTTTGTCCTGTTCTCTACATTCCACATGGAAGTGAAATCCTGTGACATCTTTCTGTCTGACTTACTCCATCAGCACAGTATCCTCCAGCTCCTTCCATGTTGTTGCAGATGGCGAGATTTTTTTTTTTTAATGGCTGAGTAATAGTCCATTGTATAAGATGTACCACCTCTTTTTTTTATCCATTCATCCGTCAGTGGACACCCAGGTTACCTCCATATCTTGGCTACTGTAAGTAATGCTGCGATGAACATATGGATTCTCATGTCCCTTCAAAGTAGTATTTTGGTTTTTTTTCTTTCCATTTTACTCTTATCACTCAATCAGAAGGTTTTTTTTTTTTTTTTTGAATACCCAGAAGTGGGATTACTGGGTCTTTCTTTGTCTCTTGTTGTAGCCTTTGTTTTTAAAGTCTATTTTGTCTGGTGTAAGTATTGCTCCTCCAGATTTTCTTTTTTCATTTCCGTTTTCATGAAATATATTTTTCCATCTCTTTACTTTCAGTCTGTGCTCGTCTTTTGATCTGAAGTCTCGTGTAAGCAGCCTATGGAAGGATTTTGTTTTCTTAATTCCTTTAGCCACCCTATGTCTTTTGACTGGAGCATTTAATCCATTCTCATTGTCGCTGGATATGTAGTTATTGCCATTTTATTATTTATATTTTTGATTTCTTCTTAAAGACGTCCCTCTAATGTTTCTTGTAATACTGGTTTGGTGATGATGAACTCCTTTAGCTTTTTCTTATCCGGGATGATCTTTATCTGTCCTTTAATTCTAAATGATAGCTTTGCTGGGTAGAGTGATCTTGGTTGTATGTCCTGGGGCATCCTAGGATTTGCATATGTCTTCCACCCACACTAGGCTTGGAGGTGCCTGGGGGAGGCTAAGCTGCAACTGAGACCAGCTACTGCTAGTACCAGGCTAGGGGCTGGTCGGCAAGAGGTACAGGACACACCGAGGCCAGATGCTGCTTGTTTGGGGTTTGTGAACCTTTGAGAGATTTTAGGAAAGTTTGTAGCCTGAGCCAAGACAGGCCACTTGTATGGAAAAGTCACTGGAGGCGGCTTAGGTGGGCCCGCATGTTGAGTGGGGTGAAGTCTCAGGGAATCACCTGGACAGAGGGAAGGGCGTTACGTACGTTGATGGAGACTCAGATATGGTGCCGCCCTGTGTCTGCATGCTGGGAGCAGGGAGGGCTCAACCAAAAAACGATGCCCTCTGCCAATACTTCTGTCTGGAGAAAACCACCCCTCCAGCCCTCATCTTGAAGTCAGACACCTCAGTTCCTCCCTGTATGTCCCTGGCACCTTTTGAGCTGTTTCCTTAGCGCTGGAACTCAGAGCGAGCGAGTCCATCAGTGATAAGTCTGCATGGGCTCTTTTAGAGGACGCCTGGGCCTCCAGCCGCCCTCTGTCTCACTCAGCCACAATCTCTGCTTGCTTTTGCAGCCAGAGGTTGTGGGGACTGCTCTTCCTGGCACTGGCAATAGGAATCCTTCTGGGTTGGAGAGCCTGGTGTGGGGCTTGGAACACCTCGCTCCTCAGGGGGACCTCCACAGCTGAGACATCCCTCCCGATTTTTAACCAGCACACGTGAATGTGGGGCCAGCTCATTCCACATCTCTGTCCATCTTACCAGTCTCAAGGTGGCTTCTTCTGTGTGTCCTTAGTTCTCACTTCTCTTCAGCTAGACTTTAGGTGATTCTCAATGATGGTTGTTCTGTAGGTTAGATGTAATTTTGGTGTGGTCGTGAGAAGAGGGGAGCACAGCTTTTATCTATCCACCATCTTGACTTGTCTCACACTGGTGTGTCGAGAAGGTCCTCCTTGGCTGCCACGTGGAGAGCAGTGTTGAGTGGTAGTGGCACAGCGGTGACGCTGGCACCTCCTGCCATATCTCAGCAGGCAGCTCAGACCCTCCTTGGGACCCCTTCCTCACGTCTCAGGTTCTCTCTGATGTTCCCGGTCCCACTTTCTCTCCTCCTGGCCTCCACCTTATTTCCTTCTCTCCCTTCCGGCTTTAAATTGTCTGCTTTCCTATTCATTTTCAATATTATGTAAGAGATGAGAGAAGGTGAAGGGTCTACAGGTGCAGCAAAGGGAGCCTGAGAAGAGGAGAGTGGGAGAGTACAGGGTCCACGCCCCCCACGCCAGGGAGGCAACCAGCTGCTATTCCAGGGAGCTGAGAAAAAGCTGGTGCTGGAGGCTGGGACTTACGTTCAGGATCATCCTATGGAGGACAGGAGGGAGCCACGGAAGCTGCAGACGTGCTGCTGCGTGAATGGTTTTAGCTTTGCAGACAGTAGGATGCAGGGGGAGGAAAAGCTTTTCAACCTGGGGCAGCAGCCTGGCATCTGCGTGGAGATGCTGGTGCAGTAGGACCCCTGGGGCAGTTGAGGAAGCAAGAGGGCAGGGCTGCGGTGTGGGTCTGGGAACTGGAGAGTGTCTTACAAGTGGGTAAACCCCTCTGAGGGTGGTCCTGGCTGAAGCAAGAGGGCAGGGCTGCGGTGTGGGTCTGGGAGAGTGTCTTACAAGTGGATAAACCCCTCTGAGGGTGGTCCTGGCATTGGGAGACCCCTGTAGCTGGTGCCCACGGGACGTTCTTTCCTATGGCTCTGCCCCTGATTCGCTCTTTGCTCCTCAAAGAGAAAGAGAGAACAAAGGGGAAAGGGAGGTTTTGTGTTGAGACAGGCGGCTATTTGATTAAAAGTGTTACATACAGTTTTCTCATATTTGTTCTGGGTGGGGCAGCGTCACACACACCACCAGCTGATAGGATACAGGAGATAAAAGAATGAGGTTTCAGGACGTCACATTACCAGAAATGCAGCTTCTGAGTCACAAGGAGGAGCCGGAGGGGAGTTTGCTTATTATGGTGGGAGCAAAGATTGCAGGGAGCATTGTCAGGGCAATTTAGTGGTGAGGGTCTGGCGCCTCCTGTTTAATTTAAAGACCAAGTGCAAACTCGAAGAGTTTGGTTCAGGTTCCCCCTCCCTCTCCTTCGTTTCCCTAGCTGCCAAGTGAGGTATGTAGCCTGCGTGTCTTCTTGGTCACATGTGCAGTCTGCTGGGTATTTAATGATTGGCTTGGAGCCAACCATGTCGTGGAGTGCAACAATCTACTGCCCTCCAGGCGGTGAAGGAACCATGGTCTCAGACGGGCTCCCTTATTCTGTTGGAGCTGCTTAGACTGAGCTGCTTGCTGGGCAAGCCCGAGTCTCACCCACCCCTGCACCCCTGAACCTCTGCACCCAGCCCATGGGCTCTGTCCAGTTCACTCCCATCAACGCGAGTCAGGAGTGGGGAAGAGCGCTGTTTTCACAGTAAGGGGTGAGAGAACGTCTGTCTTTCTTCTCTCGGGGGGTAGATTTGCTTGTTTTGTACCTTCTGTCCTTCTTCTTACGGTGAATTCAGGGTGTGTGGTAAGAGCCCAGTTGGCACAGCAGCTATGGCTTTCCCGGGGAGCCACATCTGATTCCCCTGCCTCAGGCTTTTTCCCTTTTATAAAATCCGAGATCAGAGGGATCCTGGGATCAGAGTGACTTGCCCAGGGGTGAGGGAGAAGACTCCATCTACGTTGTTATTTAAGTCACACTTTCTCCTTTTATTCTATCATGGTCAGAGGCAAAGCAAAGAATAGAGATGAACTTTACCCAAACACAGGATTGGCTTTAGTTAATTCTGACCTCCCCTTAGTTCTGCCTCTCGGAGCCCAAGGTCCCCTCCTTGACCTTGGCTGCCTCCTTGCCCAGTTTTGCTGACCCCCAGGGCCCTCTCTGTGCTGCGTTCATTCTCTCCCATTAACCTGTGCCTGCATCGTATTCCCAGAGTGCATTGTGGGTACTCAGGCAACGGGTACTGTGTTAATGCATGTTCAGCCATGTGCTCTCTCCCCAGAAACCTTTAGAGCTGTAACGAGATTCCTTTAAAACTTGCCTTACCACTTGACCTTATAAGGTTGAAAGGAAAAGGAGGAGCTGCAGTTATTTGGGGGTACTCCATGTATTTGGCAGGCTGCCTGGTCTACCCACAGGGTCACATGACTCCAGACAGCAATAGGAACCCCTCACAGTCTCATCGATGTGGCAGGGGTGCGGTCTGCCAGGGCATCTTTTTGCTATAAACCCTGAGCAAAATCAGAGGGAGGAAGGAGTGGGAAGTGGGGAAATTCAGAGTGGGAAGGTCTGAGGTTGGGTTCCAGTGTCGCCACTGTGACCCCAAGTCCTGGGATGTTGCTGGTCTTTATTTCTTCAACATTAAAACATAGGTGGCGAAAGATGGAGGTAGCGGTCTTAGAGACTAGCCATTGCTCTGCGAGTTCTACTTCAAATTATTATTACAGACCTGGGAAAGTCTAGAGAAACCCTGGCCACCAGTTCACTCTTCCAGGGTGATTAGAAAATCAGTCCCAAATGGCCAAGACGTTTCTTGAGCTCTTCTGGCGTAGAACACTCCACATCTCAAGTGATCATGACCAAGTTCCTGAGAGCTGGAAGACCAATCAGAACTGCCGATCCAGTTTAAACCAGTGTCAGTGTGTGTCTGGTGAGCAAGGGGCAGAGCATTGTGAAAAGTGTGCAGGGAACAAGTTTACCGTAATATGATTTCCTTGGCTCGTCTTGTAGGTCAACACAACGCCACCCTTTCTTGCAGGTCACGTAATGGTGACTGTTTACCGAGCACCTGAGCATCATGTCTTGTCCATAGCTTTATGTGGATCGTCCTATTTGGTTCTTGAAACAAGTCGCTGTGGTGCTAGTGTCCTTGATTTGCAGCCGAGGGGAGTGGGGCACGGAGAAGTGAAGATAACTTGCCAGTGAGCCTGGACGCTCACTTGCAGTCTGCGGTCTTACACTCTAGGACCATCTGTGCACCTGCTGGAGGTGTACACCCAACACTACATGCGGTCAGATTTTCTGTGAGGCTGCTGAATGTATCCTTGAATGTTCTAATTAAGGGATTCTACTGCCGTACATCCTTCTACCCATTTTCCTCTCTGTCTCTCCCACCTGAGTATCTTCTAGTCCTTAAGAGGAGGGGCGTGGCCTCAATGACAGTCCAATCTTTTGATACTTGGAGACTGACGTCCCCATTGCTGTGTGGAAGTACATGCAGGACCGAACTTTCATCTCTGTTCAGCTGTATTTCTTCCCTCTCGACCTTGTTCATCCCCCAGACTCAGACGCTGTCCTAAGTACCGCATTTGGGGGCTCCAGAGTGCAGGGGGCATGCATGGGCCATGATCACAGCATCCTAGGGTCCTCATCCTCTTTGTGAGGACAAGTTACCCCACTTTTCCCTGAGCGTTGGGATCTCCTCAGAGGCTGAAATGAAAAGTCTTCTACATTTCACTGTGAGAAAAATGCTCATTTCATATGGAGGCTGAAAACTTGCCTAATGTAGCAGAGATGGGCTACTGGTGGCTTTTTGGCCAAGCTGGGGTCAGATACACAAGGTAACACCCAGAAGTGGAGGAGGAGCTTGGCTCGCTCCTCTCCCAATCCTGCTGGGACTGCCATCGACTGGGGTGTGAGCGGAGGGGTGTGGAGGAGGGTCTCACGAGGCTTCCTGTCCACTGGAAGCTCCTGAGCTACTGGGAAGACATGGTGTCTGAGCCGTTAGACAGTCATCCCCAGGTCACGACTTGTATACCAAAGGGTTAAACTCTATCTTTGACTAATGCAGATTCACTGGTTGTCTCCCAGCTTCTGCTTCCAGCAACCAAATCATAGAAGGACCCAAGAATGCAACGGTACTGGTGGGCTTGGAGGCCCGCTTCAACTGCACCATCTCGCAGGGCTGGAAGCTCATCATGTGGGCTCTGAATGGCACTGTGGTCCTGAGCATCACGCCCAAGGAGCCCATCATCACCAACGACCGCTTTACCTCTGCGAGTTATGAAGAGGACGGTAACTTCATCTCTGAGATGATCATCCACGACGTGCAGTTCAGCGACGCGGGCCATATCAAGTGCAGCCTCCAGAGCAGCGACCAGGACGGGTCTGCTTTCCTTTCAGTGCAAGGTGCGCAGATAGGTAGCTCTGACGAGGAGCCTTTGGTGGCCGCTGGGTTCCACGTCAGAGGAACGGAAGGGACATTCTAAAGTTCGTGTCATGCATGATGACATATGGTGTTTACCCGCAGGAGGCGTTATGCTTAGAATTATTCTGAACTGACGAAGGTTTATTGTTTTATTTTATTTCTCTCCTCTCTTCCCCACTGACTCTTTCTACTCCCTTCTGTTCTGTTTCTCTCCCTCTCTCCTTCCATCTTTCCTTTCCTTTTCTGCAGTTGAGATTCTGAGAGACAGGTTTTATCGCTTTCCCATCGAATCCATTTTGGTACCAAATAGCTTTTCTGGAAATACATCCTGGAAGTCTTCTGGGCCAGTAACCACCGCGTGTCTCTGATTTAGCGCACTGACTCTTTCTACTCCCTTCTGTTCTGTTTCTCTCCCTCTCTCTTTCCATCTTTCCTTTCCTTTTCTGCAGTAGAGATTCTGAGAGACAGGTTTTATCGCTTTCCCATCGAATCCATTTTGGTACCAAATAGCTTTTCTGGAAATACATCCTGGAAGTCTTCTGAGCCAGTCACCACCGCGTGTCTCTGATTTAGAGTTGGCAGACATCTCTCTTTCTCCAGGTTTTCATATACTTGACTCTCTTTCTTTGCTTTGCGTCATTTATTGACTTTAAATCATACTTTACCTGTTCCCCCTTTTCAGCTGAATTTCCCCAGTTTATTACTCTTCCCTGCCCTCAGTGGTTCTTACGGTCAAAAGTGTGTGTTCACTAAACATAAGAAAAATCTTTCAGAGAAAAGAAAAGAGTGAGCAAAATTTCTAACAATGGAGAACTTGTTTTCCATTTTCAAAGTTGGTTTTGAGATGCTGAAGATCATGCCACGTAGCGAAAAAAATTAAAAAGATGCTTTAGAAGGATTCAGAACATCTTTATCAAAGTCTGATCACTTATGCATTCGTAAAAAATGCAATTCTGTACTCTTTATTGATGCATTGGTGCTACACAGCTCCTGCTTTCCATGGCAGCATTTCATACAACAGACCACACGTGCCTCTGAAAATTTTCTTATGTCTACTTATTTGCTTGTCTAGGAGAAATTTCCAAAGATTCGATCTGCATTCATGTTGCCATCAAATCAAATTTGATAATATTTGGTGCACATACATGTCTACCTAATTCTGCTTGCGTTTTTACATTTAGCTCAATTGTTATGTCCTTTCTGTTATGTATCTTTAATTGTATGTGGTTTAATTAGAGGCACAATGACATGATTTTATGAGGCTCCCTGGATTAGTGGCCTAGTTTGCATGACCAGATTCTTATTATAATAATTTGTGATATAAGGGAAAGAACACAGGAAAAGGAATCAAAGATATGCATTCTGGTTTAGCTTTCATCAGTTACCTACCTTGGTGACTCCAGAATTGGCTCATTTTTTTTCTTTAAAATAGGGACGAGACTCTTCTGCTCACCTCTCAGGTTTTCTCTGAGGACCAGATAACAAAATGACTGAGATGGTTTGAGGACTCCAAAACCCTAGCAGTCTAGTGGCCGACTGCAGATTCGGGAGCCTGACGGGGCTTCAGGGGCCAGCTTTATTACTGAGTAACGGTGTGACCGTGGACATATTACTTCCTGACCTTGTGCTGTAGTATCCTCACCATACGGCTATTGCGAGATCAAATGAGTGGGTCTCTGTGAAGTCTCTAGCATAGCACCTGGCTCAATGCAATCTCTGGATAGTCATTCGCTATAATATATTACATCCCCAATAGGAGCATGCCAGTGTATTTGGCATTTAAAGGGGACACGGAGATAAACAGAGTAAGGCACAGTCCTGCCCTCTAGAATCTTACAAGGAGAGTCAATAACACAAAGGCATGAATGACAGTGGTGCAGGGTAGATGCTGGCAAGGGCAATGAGAGAGAGACAAGCTCGGGTTCAAATTGGGAAGGGAGATGAGAGAATCAGCTATGTATCCAAGGAGAAGGTGCCATTAGAGGTGTGCCTCAAAGGTCTGTAGTCGACAGGTGAGATGGGGGAGCGAGAGAGGAGGAGGGCACCCCTGGGTCAAGGAAACAGATCACAGGCATGACTCGTTATTGCTATGCCTGTGGCGTATCAAGTTCACGAGGCTGTGTGGTTTTATCTTTTCCCAAAGCTACACATCTGTAAAGTATCTTCAGACATGAATCTTTATATGTTAATAATGACGGTAGCTTTTGGTTTTAAAACAGATAGACAAACACATGTCTAGGGAAGTTAAAGTCTTATCCAAGGTCCCGAGGGAGGAAACCTGTAGACCAGGACTGAACTCGAAAGCTTTACCCTGGTGCTTTGTTCTTGTAGGAACAAATGTTCTACGAGCAACAGGGTCTCTTTCAAGGGGAAAAGAATCTTGAAAAAAGAGGAAACATCCAATCTATTTTGAGAGTGAATTCAGAGATTGCTTTATCAGCCAGAAAAAATAAAGAGAACCGACATGACTCTGTATCGAGTCATCCAAAATCACCTTGTGTGAAGCGTTTGTCACGCTGCTGGATAACCTTTGTGAAAGCCAATGAGGAAAAGTTGGATCGTAAATATATACAGAAGGAAGAAATGCTTCCGATTTTCGCATTTGTCCATTTATTATCCAACCTGCCAATTACTCACATGCCGAACTCTAGACCTCTTGCGTCTCGAGAGCCATTTTCTTCTGGCATTAACGGAGGCGATACCATGCCTTGGGGTTTCTGTCACCTTAAACCTCTCCACCAAATGGAATAATGAATGAGCCAAAAGAACAAAGACAAAACCGTGACTCTCTCGTTGTTGCGGCCTCGTGGCTGTGTCCTTGAATTAGCGAAGGTGCTTTACTTCCTCCCAGAGAGTATTCAGGAAAGGTAATTGGAAATCGAACATTCCAGAATAAGAGCTTCAGAGCCGATCCAGTTCAGACCCGTCTGGAAACTCTCGGGTGTCCCCTAGACCCCTTCGGGGCGGTCTGTGAGGTCATGACTGTTTACATAATAACACCAAGATGTTACTTGCCTTCCCCATGCCCGTTCTCATGGGTGCACAAGGAATTTCCCAATATACACTGGAGAAGTCGGCATTACTCAGTGGACCAGTGTTTTCTAGACGACTGACATATGAGGGTAACAGAGCTGTTTGAAGGGCCAGATAGAGCAATAGGTTTTGATGTAACAGACAATGAAGGCTTTTTTTTTTAATGTAGTTTCAGATTCTACCAACCTCTAAGAGACCACTACTTGTCAAGTTTTGGTATGGTATCAAAGAATATCCATGATTATTTGAAAAGTCTGTAAAATGCCCCTCATCATTTCAATTATATATCTGTGTGAAGTCAGATCTTCTTTATAAATTTCAAATAAAGCAATATATCGCAACAGATTGAATAGAGGCGATGGGAGAATCCAGCCAGATGTTAAAGAGATTTACATAAATATAAAACAATATCACTCTTACTAATTTATTTTAATTTAAAATAGTTTTTTTAAAAATAAAAATATTAATCTATATTAACATATAATGACAGTGTTATTTTTGAGTATTTAAAAATAAACAGATATTTAATTCTAATTGCAAACATGGTAAATAACGATAGATATAACCCACATAAACGAAAGGTCTTTGGAGTCTTCAGTGATTTTTAAGAGTGTATAAGGTACAAGAAGGATTGATAACTACCGATCTCATTAAATCATCTCATTGGACAGGTAGAACAGAGCCTGAAAATTTTAGGGACTTGCCCAAGGTGATGGCAATTTTGTGGGAAAGCCAGGATTGAGAACAGATTTTTTGATTTTAGTCCCGTGTTCTTTCCATTCTATTACACAACTGGAAGTTCTGAATACTTTAATTGGGACGTTTCAAGGCATCTGTGTTTCATGAAGGCTGTGTCTTTAGCGGGGCCAAACCTCAGGTTATTTTAGTAACATTGGCACACACCAGTGTTATTTTCAGATTGCTTATTTCTAGTGTGAACACTAGCACATGCAAGCAGGTCCGTAATAAACTTTTCAATAATTTATCTGAGTAATATATTCTGGTACATGATTGAGGGTAGTTATTGCTTTAATTAAATTCGATTTTGATTTAACTTGTAACTAGAAAAACATTTTAAGGCATATCGTAGTAAGTGATATTTAAAAATGTGACCCCATATGCTCTCAAAAAAGAGAATCTGACTGGCCAACAAGACCTCCCATGAGACCTAGATGCGTCCACCTTACAATGAAAAGAATGTAAAGGTTATTTCCCTTTTTGCTTTGGCTCCCAGGATACCCCCCTTAGTGACTGTGCAGCCTCCGTGGCAGGCATATCTGCCCCTTATTTCCCATATAATTGATATTCCCCTGAATCCTGATTTTTATTTATTTCTCTGGAAGCATATGTTTTCTGGTGAGCAATCTCACCTTCTGTGAACCTGGCAAGTACAAATAAAGACACAGATATGACCTGAATTGAGGTTTCCCGCTACAGACACAGCTAGTCGGGGTCTGGGGAGGTAGCTCTCTGCAGTGTGATTTGAAGGAAAAATGAAAGACTGCCTGGGACTGAGAGGCGTGGCCACCCCTTTGGAATATTTCTCTTTTCTTCTCCAGTTGTGGGGAAGTTGTTCATTCCCAGCAGTGGCCTTGAGGTCACCGAGGATAAACCTTGTAACGTGACTTGCCAAGCGGCGGGCTGGACCCCACCCCCAGATCTCTCTTGGAAGATTGGTGCTCCCGTGAGTCATTCAAGCTATTTCTCCATCCCGGAGCCCGGTGACCCTCAGAGCGCTGTGAGCGTCCTGTCTCTGACACCACAGGGCAATGGGACATTGACTTGTGTGGCTAGCATGAAGGGGCTGCTCGTCCAGAAGTCTTTAACTGTGAATCTTACCGTGGTGCCACTCCCCTCAGGTAAGTGAAGACTTTTTGCTTGATGTCAAGTAAATTCTTATTGCAAGCTTATATGGTCTGTGTTGTGCCGCCTCATCTCAGTGTCTAGGAAAATCGCATGGAGATTTGATTTTAAGTAGGAATGGTAATGGAGACAAAATATTTATATCTCAGCTGAATGACCCTGCAATTTCTCTTGCTTTTAAGATCCCATCTTCAAGTATTTCTCTCTTTTCTTACATACGAAAATCAGTAAGAATCCTGACAATTATTAGCATCAAGTTTAAGGATGAATACTTGAATTCAACGTTTTCCTCTAACTTCTCTCTGTTGTTCCGGTTTGATCCCATTCCTGGGCCAATATGAAGCATGCAAGCTCTTCTAACGTTTGAGGGGGGTGCTCAGGTCCTCTCAAATTTCTTCCAATCTTAGTGGAATTATTATGTTTCATTTATTACCCAGCAGATCCACAGTGTACTTGAATGTACCAAATTTCTCTATATTTTTTAACGTGACCTAATGACTTATGTTTAAAGTTCAGATCGCAAAGAAAATCTATTATACGGGCTCGGGCACACCCAAACCTCTAACTAACCACACACCTTGACCTTGGAGTCAGCCTGGGCCAGCAGGAAACGTGGGGGTTGGGGCTAGAGGTTGACTTTAACTCCTTCATTTTACAAAAGAGAGAAAAAAAGGAAGCATAGACAAGTGCCATGCTTTATTCAGGTCATGCTGCTGGATGGGGCCCAGGGGAAGAGAGGCCAGGAATCGATTCTCTCTTGGTACAAATCTTTTCTCACTATGAAAACACCTTCAATTAAGACCTTTCAAAGTTCAGAACAAAGCTACAGCCCGAGTGAGATGCTGCTGCTGATATACTAATAATACTAATACTACTGGTAATAAGCACTACATAGCACTTACCAAGTAAGGACTTTGTTTTAAACTTTTCAAATATTAACCAAATTAACCTGCACAACAGCTCTCTGA